TTACACGAAATGTGAAAATATTCTGTTTTCAAGCAAATTTTTAATCGATGATCAATTTTTTTTTATTTTAATTTATTGTGAACTCATATTTTCCTAAATTCATCTCTGTGAAACTATGGCGAGCACCACGACTATACTTTGCCTAGTTATAGACCACGACTATACAGCTACGTAGTGGTCACGGGACGCGAGAATAAGGTCATATAAAGTGGCAAAAAAAGAACAAAGGATTTGACAAGGAGTAAAGCAACTATTTTCCTTACACTATGCCATAACGTAGGCAGCACTAAATACTCCAAACAACAGATATCTACGCTATCGAAAGATGCGGCCAACTTATCTTAGGATGGAACCTATAGGAAACAAGAAATATCCATCTCCTCCGATTAGCAATCAACTCAGTAACCATTAATTGGTCAAAGACTAACTAGAGTAGCTGAACCAATTAGGCAAAGAAAAGAGAGTTCTCCTACTCTGGTTGTCAGCTTACCAAGGATAGAAGATATTGAAATAGCAAACGATCTACTTAGAAAAGGAGCAAACACTCCACTAACTGGAAGAATTGATTCGAATTAGAACTCTTCTGCTTCTCAAGTGGAAACCAATTTACAGCGGAACTCAAGAACCTGGAACTCCATCCATAACCTGGAATGGTCTAAGACACTCGAGGGTATTTCTCGGGACTTAGGACCGAGAAAAATCAAAGATTTCAGTTGATTTTAGTAAGAATAATCTTCGGATTGTCACGAGGTTTCTAACAGGACACTGTCTTTTCAACGAACATCTCAGTAGATTGAAGCTAAGAAACAACGACGAATGCAGATTCTGTGGGAAAATGGAGAAACACCAGAACACTTCATCGCTGAGTGCGCCAAGGCTACAACCATTCGTGCTATAAATTTAAGTTCGACTGATATCGGAGATAGAGAACTAGCCTCTGTGAAGCAGTTTCAGATACTGACTTTTGTCAAAGCCCCGAGACTGTATGATGAGTTATAACTCGTTATAACTCAAGAAAGGGAGACACACAATAGGTCTCTAAGGTCACGGAGATTAACCCACCTACCAAACATTATACATTCTACTTCCTTTTTTTCTAAAACAATTAGTTTTTGCAATTTTTGACTCTCAGGTAAAGTTAACTAACAGCTCCGGTAACGCCAGGTGAATATTAGATCGATGGCCTAGTGCCAATTTTTATCAAAACAATTCGATTGAACTAGAAAGGGACATCGTACAGCAAGGGCTAGACACGAATATTTTTTAGTTTTTGGACATCGTCCAAAAAATTATTAGGATACTGTAGCTTAGTTCGTTTCCTAATGATCTTAGGCCAACTTTTTTCTTTTTTTGTTATCGAATTATTGAAGAATTGAATTGGCCTATTTCCGGCATAATATTGTATCATTCCGGACAAAAAAAATAAAACAAAGACAAATTCAGATTTATCAATAGGATAGTTTTAATAAATTGCCGCTTTTATATACGTATCTTTTCTACCAAAGATACTTAAATCGGTTAAATTTAACGAAATGAAGCCCCCAAATATTTTGGTCTAAGAGAGATAGCGAGTAGCATTGCAAGGAATCAATATACCTATGGAATATTGACATTTTAGATTAATTTTAAAGATGTAACAAATTTTTAAAGAGTACAGATATTAATATTGTCGATACACACACCGGAAAAATCTAGGGATATCATTTTATTAAAGTTAAAAGTAAATGTTTTGAATAAACAACCACATATTTGTAGGCCGATTCTTTCTACTTCGATTGAAACTAAGTAGTCACACTAGTTATTTCTAAATTTGGGATATTTGCAGAAGTGTTTGTGCATTTTTTGTCAAATGTATAAAAAGCACCTAGCATCAATTGTTCGAATTTAACCTGTACTGGCTATGTTTTTATGATAACTGGCCAGAATTCATTCAAATAACTCTGTTTAGTATTAAACGACATTATTGAGCGTAGACATCTTAACAGAGACGAAATGCTAAGGGCCATGGGTATGCTCGGAGCTGGAATGAGCCAAATCGACGTAGCTAGAGCACTAAATACAACGCAAAGTGTAATATCCCGATTAAGTGCACGCTACCGTGAAAGTGGTGATGTTGCTGAAAGGTACACAGGGCGACATCGCATTACTACCCCTCAGCAAGATCATTTTTTACAATTAAATGCTCGACGCCGACCGACTCTTACAGCACCAGAGCTTAGTTTAATTCTCCAGGAAACACATAATGTAACCGTTAGTCCTGACACTGTTCGCAATAGATTAAGAGAGGTCAACTTAAGAAGCAGACACCCCTGGAGAAATCGAGAGGTACGATATTTGTGGGCTCAAGATCATGTTCAGTGGTCGAATGAACAATGGGCCAATGTTCTCTTCACGGATGAGTCATGCTTTGGAATTCATCCGGATTCTATTCTTCGAGAAGGCTTAGGGTATGGAGAGAACCGGGAAATCTTATTCGGTTGGATCATGTTCAGGAAGTGCACCCTTATCAAGGTGGAACAGTTATGGTCTGGGAAGGAGTCCAGTTCCAAACCAAAACCGATCTCGTTTTTCTTGAAAGGTTTCTAACGGGAATCACATATCGTGATTTAATTCTTGAGCCTGTCGTGTTACCATATGCCAATGATTTTGGGAGAAACTTCATTCTCATGCATGACAATGCACCGCCTCATACAACCAGAGTGGTATGTGAGTTTATCAATGCTCATCAATTAAACATCTTACCCTGGCCGGCACAATCTCCTGACCTCAACCCCATCGAGCACGTATAGTACGCGGTCCAAAGAAGAATTTTGAGAATGGGTATGCCTCGTGAAACTCGTAGGGATCTGGTTCGGGTCGTGAATGCAGCGTGGCAGGCTGTACCTCAAGAAGAGATCGACAACCTGATCAGGAGCATGGAGAGACGATGTAGGGCTGTAATGAACAGTAGAGGAGGCTATACCCTTTATTAAGTAAAAATGGTTTTATCTTTTTTTTTTAATTCGCAGTTTAGAATTAAAAAAAATGTGTGTATTTTTTTGAGTTCAATAAAAATCAAGGTAAATTTGAAAAATTCGGTAAATTTCGCATTTTTATTTCCAATACGTCCTGTAAACTATTTGTTTATTTTAATTTTATTATATCAGAAATGCAAATAATAAAATTACTGACGATGGCTGGATAAAATTGTAATATCCCTAGACTTTTCCGGTGTGTGTAGTTCGCTTATTTCATTAAAAAATAAACAAACTGTTTAAATATTTGCAACAGAGGACCAATTAATATGATTAATTGGTCCCCAGTATTCGAACTACATTAATTGACTGTTTGCGTTGATTAATAATAATTGCTCCAAATATTAAGAAAACTGAATTTTGTATGTGTAGTAGACAGTGTGATAAAAAGTTAACACCTTATAAATTTTATATAATTTTTTGATGAATGCTTATTTATAACAACAGAGACGACCACATTCATTACTTATTATTATATTTATTTCTGATTCAAATCCACGTTTATTTAGAATATTGTATTAAGTAACACAATTAAGTATGTAATTAATTATTATTTGGGCGAAAATAATGGTGGCATATTTAATTGGTATACTCTTTTACAAAGATTTACATGGTGTTCTTTTTGTAAACAAATGGGCTAGCAATATTTGCGTAATTGTGCTAAGGTTTTAGCACCTGTAAATTTTGTACTTTTGTTGCTTTAAGAAAATGTCTAAAATGTCCATATTCCATGGGTATATTGATAAATGAGGACTAAAATTAATTATAAAAAATGCATTTTCTACGAAAACTTATAGATAAAAAATTGTATAATTCAGTTTGATAGACAATTAAATGCTGCATCTGATTTACGTAAAATATACAGGATGTTCCGTATATATTTGTATTTCATGTTTTAATATATGTTTTTAGACACCTTGTATAAGGTAGTTTTGTTTTTATTATTACAATACCAAATTTAGTAAATAGAAAAACTTCACTACAATATTTGGTTTTAATAACATAAATACGCCTAAAGAAATGAAAAATTAAAATTGTTAGGTACTATATTTTCACAAAATCGTAAATATTTCAAAAACGGTGTGATTAGGCAGAAAAAAATGCAGAAAAAAACAAATTTACCGAAACTGAAAATGTAATATTATACAGGGTGGTCCAACTTTGAAATTTTCTCTTTATTTGCCTCCTAAAAATACAGTATTGTGTGTAATTATTTGGATAAATATTATAAATAAAAAAAGCAAACAAACAAAATAAGGTAAAGTAAACAAACAAAATAAACAAACAAACAAACAAAAGAGAATACAAAACATTATACAAATAACATTGTCAGTCTTATTGTTTAAAATAAACATTTATAAATAAATGTTTACAATGTCAAAGAATAAAAAAATAAAAATAATATTCAAACATATTTAGTTAGTTTATAGTAAATATCAATGACCTCTAGATAAATTTAGCAAACATTAGACCAGTGTTTACAAGATAAAATTCGATTATCAAAATATAAGTCATTTACGGCGTAGAAAGCCTTGTCTAGTAAATAAGATTTCAATGCTTTACGAAATGAAGAAAATGATGTTATGGATTTGATTTCAAATGGCAGGTGATTGTGCATTTTTTCAAATTGTATAATATTGAACTTTTAATTAACTCTGAGCGTGGGGTAGGTAAATAAAGATCTTGCTCCGCGTTCTTGAGTGGATAAGTGTGAGATGGCCTTTCTTGAGAAGCTGATACATGCTTACGTATTAGACAAACGGATTCAAATATAAATAAGGAAGGAAGAGTTAATATTTTTAATTTTTTAAAAAGTCCTGGCAATGAGTTCTGCTGTTTAGTCCCAGTGAATATCGAACAGCTCTCTTCTGGAGCTTGAAAATGCGGTCAAATTGAGAGGCACAACACGCATCCCTTAAATTTATTATAGTAACTACCTACATTTCATAACATGGTTTACTTCAACCTTGCTTATTTTTGTTTCAGGGATTATGCAACAAGATAATGCAGAACAAGTGATATTGGATCCAAAACTTATAGCAAGACATTACCTGAGGACGTGGTTCTTCCTCGATCTAATTTCGTCCATACCCCTAGACTATATATTTCTTATATTTAATCAAGTAAGTACGCTTATTTTTTTAAATCTACTTAACGATTTTAATTTTAAGCATTTCTCTATAAAACCTCGGTATTCTATAAAATGACTAACGATTTTAGTAGTGATGGGAAAAACCGATTAATTTCAATAATCGAGTACTCGAGTTTCAAGCGATTTCAATAATCGAGCGGTCGCTCGTATTTAAAATACGATTTTTCGCCCGTCGCTTGTGGTAGCGCCAAGCAGTAAGTTGCGTGCGCAGAACACATATTCTTTCGCTGATGAATGGCAAGTAGCAAGCGACGAGTGACGAGTATCGCTTGACTTAGTTTACTTGAAAACTTTGTCGATGTACGTCGTAAAATTTTGTCACTCATATACGCAACGGATAACGTCGTATAACTTTCGTCGTAACTTTTTCGTCTTTAAATATCTCAAAAACCAAAGCATTTAAACCTATTAAACCCTTATAAATTATAAATAATAATAACTGCCTTATTTTATGCCGAAGAATACAAAAATAAAAAAAATACCGGGTGTTTCATAAGAAAAAATATAACTTTGGTATGGATCTTAGTTTTGACACACCCTGTACATTTCAAAATAATTTTAAATTGGGCACATTGCCTCCCCGCATATACCCATAAAATATTTTGTTTCTACATCTTTCCGTTTTCGTATAATCAACCGAGGCGAATGAGGTGCGCCACCTTTAAAATACATCAAAATTTTAAGGTGCCCGTTTTTTGTGGCGGTGGTGTATATACGAATATCGTACCTCTTCAATATCGGGTTTAGAAAAGAAAAAGTCTCTAAATGGCAAACACATTCTATACGAATAAAACAAAAAATACAATTGGAGCAATAACTCAATTAACAAATGCCATACTTTTGAATAATTCATTTTCACTATAAAACCAGAAAGCAATTTTGCTAACAAGAACAACTTTAATCATTTAGGAAAGTCACGAAAGTGGGAGACAGCAGAACCTCATTTAGACATTGAAATAGCGTAGGCGGTGTTTGAATGGGACACAATTTGTTTTGAGAAACGCGCGTTGTCAGTTTTTACACGTTTGTTCGCGTAGAGTTAGTTTACTTTATAAATAGCTGAATTTACATCATTGTCAGAAATTCTAAAGTTCCCTCTAAACGTAGCCTTTTACCTTACATCTTAGCTGTTCGGTCAAAAGCTATACGATCGAAAAAAACGGCTGGGGAATAACAATCGATGATAATTTTGGCAAGGTCAAGCCCTAAACGTTGATTCTCTGTTCAAGATAAGTTTTACTGCACTAAAACGATCTAGACCAAGATAGGTCTCTGATGTGCCAATGATTTTGTTGTTAGGTCTATTAACAATAACAACGTAAAATAGACTAATATTCTTTTTTTTATGATGACTCCGCTACAAGGCAATCGCCAGCTCAATTTGAGAGTGACCAAGATGTTGACTGGCTCTAAATCATATCAGGGCCACTGATTCTTATCTGATTAAATGTATAGTGGGCAAATTGAAATATCACTAAGGCTGTACGCCGTTGCAAAACCAGGCGAACCAAACCGAGTTTAATATTGAAAAGTACTTTGTAACAGCCTTTTTTTTCTAGCGAGCTATTACTAACGCCTAACAGTCGGTCTTTTTGTTCTCGGGCGCCACCCCCAAAGTTTAAAGTGTTTGAGAGACCACCTCGGCCAACACGGGTAGCTTTTCTACAGTGGAGAATCCAGGGAAATGGGGTAAAAGCCAGTTAAAGTCGAATATATTCCATAACGAGGTTTATTTAAATAAATTAATTATGAATCCAATATCTTCAAATGAATCAAATATGAAGAAACTATTAAAACATGAAATATCGCAAAATCTAACACAGAGAAATTAAATCAGTTAATTACAACAGCACATAATTAAGTTCATATTATTTAAGTTCAATATCTTCAAATAAATAAAATAGAAAAATACTAGCAATACATATTCACATGCATCTTTAAATAAATCAGATGTATAAGAAATATTATTATTATGGTAAAATAAAAGAGGAACCTTAATTAACTCCTCCTCCGTAAAGGAATTTTATACCATAAAAATCAAATAAAAAAACTCTACTGTGCTGAAATTAAAACTTGTGATTACTAGAACTCTGATGGGGTATCTAGCGGTTACAAAAAAAAAGAAAGAATGTGATTACCTCTTTTTTTTAAGTAAATCGGCGTCGGATCAAACGAAACGGTCTGGTTTTCTGAATCGTCTACAGCAGCCCGGAATCCAGGCACACTAATTATTCACGGTCAGGTATAAAGAAAACTTAAGAAAATCGGCGTCGGATCAAAACGAAACGGTCTGGTTGTCTATTCACGGTAGCAGGTATAAAAAACTTAAATGCTCGGTTTTTAACTATCTATACTCATAAATCAGAAATACGGTTTCGACTTATTTTAAATCAAATCTCTGCGACCACGATTTATACTTATTTAAAATCAAAAACGGAGATACGGTACTTTTACTTTAAAACTCAAGAATTCGGTTTTTACAGCAGCGCTGATAAAAAAACGGATCAGACTCGCGAGGTTTACTTAGAAAAGTTCACCGGTACTTAGTCTCAACAGGAAGAACCCCGTTTTCGCGCTCCCGTCGCTTAAATAATCTTTCCCGTCGGGAACCACGAACCACGTTCGATTACCATCGTCCTATCTCCCATCAAGATTCCTTACAGTAAAAAAAACGGTTTTTACCCGTCGATCCTACAAAAAACCATTTGCTGTTTGTACCAAAAAAAAACTTCAACGTCTCCATGCAAATCGACGAAATATTTAACACAATTTTATCAGCAAATAATTTTTAATATTAAAAGTATTTTTCAGTTTTAGACTATCATAACAGTTCTAAAAATAAAAACTACTAAGCTTGTCTAAGAATTATTTGTTACCATAATCCTTCAAAACAAATGAACATATCAAATTCTACTTATATACAGTATGGTTCATAAATCCACAAACGCTATCCGTCCTGGTGATCAAAAAAACAAATATTTAAACATTTACCATGAGAATATTAACGATAAAAAAAATAAAAAAGTTAGGTCCCAAGGCAGGATCGAACCCGGGCCCTTCGGTGTACCAGCGAAGTACCGTATGATCGAATAAAAACGGCGTCCAGTTGGCTTGGAAATGACGATCGATGGCATTTCCTATATAAATTTACATATAAAATGACAGCGATCTTCATTTCATAGCCATCGCTGACGCCGTTTTTATTCGACCATACGGTACTTTCACGCCGCGCTATCGTACCGTGTTTTATTTATGTTCACGCCTAGCATTTAACAGGTTAAATAAAAAAAAATGAACGGACTTCATTACAACTTTATTAATAAACTGTTAAACTCGTTAGACAGCTCAAGTGCAGATATGCAGGTCCAATATTAAAACAGATCAACAATAAATAAACAAATCTAATCAATATTTATATTTTTATAGCTTACAAAACATTCACGATTACTTGTTGTCTTGTTTCTCATGTTTTCTTTAAATGTTCCTGACTTTAAGAAACAATGGCTGCATTATAAGTTTAAATGGTCCTAAAAAGTCATTCTATTTAGTTAATGAAATTTATTTACCTTTACTGCCTACCTCTATTGCTTTTGGATGTAAATACAAAATATTATTACAAATTTTAGAAACTAAATGAGAATTTCACTCGAACTTCCAATATTTGCTTGATTTCTGTCACATAAATGACATTGATTGACAAACAAAACCAGAAAAAACCCACCTTCTCGCGCTGGTTAGTTTGGTGACAGTTATAACCGAATTTTTCAAGAATCGTGTTCCGTAAAAAGAAAACTTTCAAGAGACCGATAGAAACGGAACGTAAAACCATAACCAAGGTAAGCAACGGAATACACCCTAACTTCTATGAAGGTAACCTGTGACTGTAAAATGTTATTATTATTATTTATTAGATACATAAATGAAGTGCTGAAAGGAAGATTATATTACAAACAAAGTCACAAAGGGTAGAGGTCACACAAACAAACTGCATTCGGAAACTGAAACAAAAAAGAAAATTAAAAAAAATAGAATGTTGAGCATTATAATTTAATTCTATTAATGTTTGAAAATATCATAATAGTTTCTCTTAATTTTTCATTTGGCTTTGACAAAACTGGAAATATTGAAAGTGGGGTAGGAAATTTCATTTCCATAAATTTTTGACACAAATCCAAATTAAACAAAAATTTATAGGACATTCTAAAAAGATATGATTTGGGTCTTCAACAGAGCCACACTCACAGTATGTATCTCCCTTCACTTTAATTTTATATAAATTCACTTTAATTTTATATAAATGGTGTTTTGTTAATCAATGGCCTGTACGCATTCTAATTAACGTTGTATAACTGGACATTTTTAAACCATTTTTTATCTGGGAAGATTGTTTGTATATTAAAATTCACATGTTTTTTTTTCTTTCATACGAGATTTCCAATTTTCTTTATAATTATTACACAAAATATCGGTTTTAATTGAATTAAAAATTTCGATTGAATCCATCTTCAATGACCTTGGAATGACCTGGAATCCGAGCAATCCTGATGTCAAAACTTTGGTTCTTAAGATCCAATAATCAGCAGAATAATATAATATTATACTAATACTAAACCTCTGAAAATCATCGAAAATAACCTTATTTTTCTATTTCAGTTTCAGGATTATGGCGACAGTTTCCAGTTGCTGCACGCGGGGCGCGCGCTGCGCATCCTGCGCCTGGCTAAACTGCTGTCGCTCGTCCGCCTGCTGCGCCTATCCCGACTGGTCCGTTACGTCAGCCAATGGGAAGAAGTCTACGTAAGTAACGGCGGCACGCGCGTAGACTGAGATTTAGGGGTGCGCGCGCACCCACTATCGAAACGAAGAAGAAGACGGCACGATAGATCGCTTGGTCGGGCGGTTCGTTTGATTTTGGTATTGCTGTGGTGGTTTTTTGTTCGTTTATTTGGTATAATTGTCGTGTTATATTTTTGGTTTCGTGGCTTTATTTATTTGGTCGTATGTTTTTTCTGAGCTAGTAGTAAAGGCAAAAATTGTTTTATGTAAAATTCTAGCGTTAAATTTTTAGATTTTAACAGATTTTTGCTTTAAAACGAGTTTGAAAAATCCAAGACAATTTGCTGACATACATTAAAATATCAGAAATCGTTGCGTTATTACCAATTTTAACAATAAAAATATACCGGGTGCGTCTCAAAAGTGGCTCACCCCTATATCTTTTTATTTTTTTAGGTTAGTATAAGACATAAATTAGGACTGATTGACGTATTCAATTGTTTTTGGTCACTTCCTTTTTCACCAGAAATTACTACAACTTATGATTTTCAAATGGCACCCTCGGTATATTTTTACTTTATTGGATAGAAAATGACACTCTGAATAAAGTGATATATTATATGTTAACTTTTGACATTTTCCCTTACAAAAAAATCGTATTTTAAATTTCAATCTAGAGTGCCATGGCTGTTAAAAGCATTAATTTTCGTGTCTTGTCCTGGCCGGTTAAAAGATACCCTAATAATTTTTTAGTAATATCTCAATTTTTTCAAATGGAACAAGGGTAGCTCATTAGCATATTTGGAATAAGCATTTTCTTACGAATAATTTTGTACCACATATTTGATATTTCGAGTCAAATTGTCATTATGAATCGCGTGTTGCAATTTCAAATAAACCATCGTCGAAAATGTCAAAATTTGAGATATCATAGGTCATTCTGTTTAGAGTATTATTTTCAATCGAATAATAGTTATTTTTATACAAGACGATAAAATTTTATTTTATCGTCGACCGAAAGATTAATTATTTATTAATTTCGGGAGACGATAATGCAATTTTATCGACTTGTATAAAACAATATTTTTTTCCATAGCGAGTTACGTTTTAAAAAATATTCAGAAATTATTATTTCAAGGAATTTATTACGGTTAGAAAAAATATTGTGCTGGGTTGGCGTTGGTTTCTATGTAATTTGACACATAAATAAAGCTGTCTTTTTTGATGTCAATTTTGAGTCAATATTTTTTAATTATCTTTCGTGTTGAGTGCTGATTGAATTGTAGACAGAATTGGCTCAAAACGAAATAAGTAAATTACCAACAGATATTCAAGCTGAGGCGACAAACGCCATATCCAAACTACTTCCATTTAAATCCCGAATAACTTATGAAAAGGAATATAAAAATTTTCAAAAATGGAAGCAGTTAAAAACGTGCGAGAAGAAATAAAGTTTTTAACCTATCCTCGCTGTTAAAGTATCATTTAATCTACCCTTGCGGTTAAAGTACTATTTTATCTACTATTTTTAATAGATATAAGACAATTTTAACTGTTGCTATGGAAAAAAGTAATGAAATACCGAGGGTGCCATTTAAAAATCAAAAGTTGTAGTCATTTCCGGTGAAACAGGAAGAAAGATATTGAATACGTCAATCAATAATTTATGTTATATACTAACATACCAAATTTTCATTCTTTATCTGAAAAAATAAAAAAAATTATAGAGGTGAGTCACTTTTGAGACGCACCCGCCACTTTTTACACCACATATACCGTTAATTTTTCTGTAAAGATATATATATTTTTTTCATAATATAATTAAAAAATACACGAACTTTCACCTAAATTTTGTCACATATTGTAATCATGTATTTTGCTCGCAGCAGCTCAGTACGAAATCAAATCCACCACCAACAGAAGAAAAATAAACACGAGACATATGTCTATGCTTTATGCATATGAGCTTATACATTAGATCAAGCTATATTGGCTTGAAATGGTTTTTTTTTACCTTTTCAGTTTATTTTTTGCACCACAGTAATTCTTGTTTTATTACACGTTGACAAAAACACCCAATTGGCAAAGGTAGTGTACACAGCTGAGTTGAAATTCACTCAAGTTCAATAAAGATGGCGCCCTACGAGTTTATGTTTATGTTTTCGGCGAGGATTGAATAAATGATAGTCAAGTTGTTGTTTTATTTTGTTTTTGTTTTATCTTCGTTTGTTTTAACTACTGATGTATGACGGCTGATGAGAAATGGAGTACATTTTATGTACCTAGTTCTAGGAATAAATTTTACCAGATGCCTTTACTAGTTATGTTTTAGGAAGGAATCATTTTGTATATAACTGTATATAGGCCAGTAAGCGAGGATAAAAATAGGGTATTATCTCCGAATTCTTGACACCCGCACCGATTGACGTGAAATTTTAACAGTGAATAGAGATATATGTAAGAAACAAAAGTTACATAGTAGCGATGTGTGCTTTTACCCAGGGGGTGAGTGCCACCCCTTCTCGGGGGTGAAAAATAAATCAGCCATTTTAATTATAAAAATCAATAAAGAGATGAATTCTAAGCAAAAAATGTTCTGTAACATTTTTTCAGAAAATTAATATTTTCCGAGTTATTTAGGATTGAAAATGTTGATTTTTCATCTAAAAACTGCATATTTTTTTGTCATTTTTAAAAATATCTTGAAAACATTGCGTTTTATCGCAAAACTCATATAAAGCAAAAATTAAGGCTTTAGAATACGGAATCGATTCATTTTTTGCGGATTACCGTAGGTGTAATAACAGCCGAATGATCACTCTGTAAAAGTGATTTTTTATTTTTGGAAAACTAAAAATTGCAACCTTTTATCGTAAAATAATGTCGAAAGAACACATTTTTGGAAGAAAATGAATATGGCCATTTTTAAAGTGCATTGGCGTAACTTCAGGGGTGCCCGGGGATGCGCCGGGCCTCCCCTAGGTACTGCTGGGCACCTCCCAGAGAAATTCTGAATTATGACTCTTGGCTACGTATTAATTTTTATTTGCTTGTGATGCAGTAAAAATTACGTTTTCTAGTTTTGTTTAGTTAATATTATTTTGTTGTGTTCAAAAAATGTGTTAATTTTTATTTTTTTTTAGAAAATTTGTAGGTATTTAAGCAATCTACAGGAAAACGGTTTGATAACCAAGTCTATGAAATTTATTGATAGAGAAATTCATGTAAACGTTTTATTGAAAAAAAATGTTTTTTTTAATTATTTTTTATTTTTAAAAAAAACAAAAGCCATAGGCCCCCCTGGGCTCAACTCCAGGCCCCCCAGGCCCACTCCAGGATAAAGTGCTTGAAAAGACCTTGTAAATGCTTTTTTAAAAGGTCTTTTCAAGTTCGTAGCTCAAAAACTCGAGAGTTATGATAAAAATAAAATGGTCACCTTATTTTTTCGGAAAAAAATTAACAACAAAATCTATGACTAAAATCATAAAAATAAAAACTATCAATTTGTAGAAAATTACACGAGCTACAAATTAACCTCTATGGTTCAACAGTCTTGAACTATTTTTACGAGATTTTTGGGTTTTAAGGGCTCAAACAACGTGATCCTAACACGCAAGTCAAACTAAAAAATCGTAATATCTACGAAATAAAGAGATCTACAGAAAAATTGAAAGAGTAAATATATTGCAAAAAAAGACCTCCAATTTTACTTTGTTACATTTTTTACGTATCTTGCTTAGTTTTTGAGATACGTCAAAAAAATTAAAATTTTTTAAAAAATTTAAGAAAATTTTTTTTCATTATTTTTAACTTTTTCCAAATTTAGGCGTTCTAAACCGCTCGAACTTACAGAGCCTATTCTTAGTTGGTACCTAAATATAGCCAACTGTACAGGGTGGGTCAAATTCGACGCTTTTAAATGGAAACACCCTTTTCTGTAGGAGATAGACAAAAACTAATATCGGAGTCTGGAGCTAAATTTTCATCAAAAATATGATGGTGAAAACCGCACATCAATATCTGTTACCGTTTAGGAGTTACAGGGTGTTCTTCAAAAATGTGCATTTTTAACAAATCGCTGTAACTTTTTTGCTATGGAAAATTTTGTATTTCTATGAAAACATTTCCAAAGCACCTTTTTACGTTGAATTTAAGTATAATTTTTTTAAAATTAATAATTTAAGAATTATCAACAGAAAAATTGATTTTTTATTTGGGACACCCTTTATATTTTTAATTAACCGAAAAGAATTTAAAATTACCTTACCAAAAATATAGCACACTTGATATTTTGTTATATTCCCCTTCGAAATACAGAATTTTTGAAAGTTCGCCACTTTTAACTAGTAGGCTTTGGACCCCTTATTGATGATATGCCCTTAATGGAACTCGAAAACATATTTTTCCAGCAAGAAGACGCACCGCCTCAGAACGCTGAAGTTATCACCAAATATTTGCAGCCAATTTCAAGAATAATTGAATAGCTAACAAAGATCCCAGCCGTTGGCTGTCGAGGCCACCTGACTTAGTGCCCATGGATCTAATCCTATGGATATATTTGCGGAAGAATAAAGGTTCCTTATTCTTCCGTATAATCTAGACAAGAATTAGAAATACTTAGCAGTTATGAGAGGGTATCTTTCACCTCTCTGAGTTAATGAATTCCGCGAGAAATGTTCAGAAACGGCCCCGTCTGTCCATAACAGAAGATGGTCGATATAACAGAAGACGGTCGAACACCTGCAGCAAAATCTTCAAAATGTCTTGGTTTGCTATTTATTTTTATTGTTATCAGATATAGTTTAAATGTGTTGATGTTGGTTAAATATATTTTAAATTCTTATAAAATTCTGCATTTCTCATAGCAAATATTATTTTCGTTTTAATTGATGCTCACAGCTAGAATTTTTTTGCATTACAGCCGGTGCCATTCAAAGCCTACTTATTTAAAGCGGGCGAATTTTTGTATACTCTATCTCTCGAAGAGGAATCGAGCAAAATATCAAGTGTGTTATATTTTTGGAAAGGTAATTTTAAATTCTTTTCAATAAATTAAAGATATACAGGGTGTATCATATAAAAAATCAAATTTTCTGTTGATAATTCTTAAATTATTAATTTAAAAAAATTATACTTAAACCATTAAATTCTACGTAAAAAGGTGCTTTGGAAATGTTTTCACAAAAATACAAAATTTTCCATAGCAAAAAAGTTACAGGGATTTGTTAAAAATGCATATTTTTGAAAAACACCCCGTAACTCCGAAACGGTAACAGATATCGATATGCGGTTTTCACCATCATGCTTTTGACAAAAATTGAGCTCCAGACACCGATATTAGTTTTTGTCTATCTCCTATAGAAAAGGGTGTTTCCATTTAAAAGCGTCGAATTTGACCCACCCTGTACATGTATTACGCTTAGTTTTTATTTTTATGATTTTAGTCATAGATTGTGTTGTTAATTTTTTTCCGAAATAACGAGGTGACCATTTTATTTTTACCATAACTTTACGAGTTTTTGAGCTACGAACTTTTTAAAAAGCGTTTAAAAGATCTTTTCAAGCACTTTTAAAACGACCCTATTAATTTTCTTCGAAAAATGTGTTCATTTGCCATTATTTTACGGTAAAATGTTGCAATTTAGTTTTCGAAAAATAAAAAATCAATTTACAGAGTGGTAACTTGGCTATTATTATACCTACGGTAATCAACAAAAAATGAATCATTTAGGTATTACAGAAGCTTCATTTTTGCTTTATATGAGTTTTGCGACAAATCGCAAGGTTTTCGAGTTATTTATAAAAAATGACAGAAAAATATGCAGTTTTTAGATGAAAAATTAACATTTTCAATCCTAAATAACTCGGAAAATATTAATTTTCTGAAAAAATGTTATAGAACATTTTTTTTTTGGAAAAAATGTTATAGAACATTTTTTGTTTGGAAAAAATGTTATAGAACATTTTTTGTTTGGAAAAAATGTTATAGAACATTTTTTTGCTTAGAATTCATTCCCTTATTGATTTTTACAATTAAAATGGGTGATTTATTTTACACCCCCAGAAGGGGTGGCACTCACCCTCAGGGTGAAAACACACATCGCTACTACGTAACTTTTGTTTCTTACATATATCTCTATTCACTGTTAAAATTTCAATTAACCTAACGCCAATCGGTGCAGGTGTTTAGAATTCGGACCCTAAAACCCTCGCTTACTGGCCTAATAAGATTTGTCTCTGGTAGAGACGATAGTGTATATACCCATAATTATAAATAATAATCCTTTTCGCTTGCATGCATTAAATCTATATCGCATTATGTTTTACAACCATTATCATGAATTGACAGTGTAATCAATAGGGACTGTATAAATAGAACTTGAAGAAGACGTTCAACTTAGTAGATACTTTTATATTGTAAAATTCGAATCAGGTAAAATGAGATTACCTACACAATTTTTCTTGTTTCTTTGAAGATTAGAAAAACTGAAATTGAAACCTCAAAATGTTATTCTGAAAAGAAACCTTTTAGGTATCTTATTTTTCAAAATTTGCAATAATTATCTATTCATTATGCTGTCAAAGGAAAGAGGCTCATGTTTGATTTAAATTTCGCCCAAGCTATTTCCTAAAAAAAATTAAAACCCATTACCTAAATTCCATGGTAAAAATGTCAAACCTATAAAATAAGAAAGAATAGCATATATAAATATTAGTACGAGAGCTAGCAACGTCGGAAAAACAAGTATTTCAAGACGTCTGGCTCTTTGATATATCTTTTACTATGCTCTCTAGAACAGCATGCGGCCCGTCTGGCTGCCGGTAAACGTTGCAAACCCTTGAAAAAAGATCCTATATTTTTATTAGTCCTTTAAATTCTAGTATCGAATATAAATCGAACATGTCTCCATAGCGCAGTGCGTAAAGTTTCCGACCACGAACCGATGATTCAGAGTTCGAATCCGGGTCAGGGCAAACACTTTTTTATTTTATTTTCGTTTATATTCTGATAGTAAAGTATTTAATATATGTTTTTTTTTAAATTACCAGAATTATTTAATACTTTACTAGAATATAAACGAAAATAAAATAAAAAAGTCTTTGTCCTGACCCGGATTCGAACTCTGAATCATCGGTTCGTGGTCGGAAACTCTACGCACTGCGCTATGGAGACATGTTCGATTTATATTGAATACGAGAATTTATAGGACTAAATTAATAAAAAAAATATAGGATCTTCTTCCGATGCGCAGTAGTGTAAGCATAGTAAAAGATATATCAGAGAGCCAGACGTTTTAAAATACTTTCTCGAAAACGTTGCTAGCTCTTAGACTCTATGTTTTCAGCAAAAGTACGTCTACCTTTTTTATAATTCAGTGTCATGTGTTGCATTACAACAAGAAATTAATCTAAGTGTTTAATCTTTTAATAAGCATTTTTCTTTTTTTGGTTCTTTTTACTTTGGAAGCTATTTGAATCTTACAGAAATGACTTTTGATTGGAAAATTTGCTGAGAAATCTTTGAAATATTTAGATTTTGTACTTGTGTGTTTTACATAATACTACTAGTTAGCTAATTTTTTTACATATCTAATGGCGCCGATTCTGAACTGTTGAAAAGCTGCTATAATTGTTCATTATTTAGTTTCATTAATTCAGTATACTAAACTGTAAAATTTTTTTAAATATAATTGACGTTGCACTAGACTTAATAGTAATTAACAATGATTACAAACTTTAAAGTGAATAAAATTAATTTAAATTTTTTTTTGTAGAAATTTAAAAATGTGAAACTATATCTTATTAAAACACAGAATGTGGATAACGTAGGAGGTGGCAGCATTGCATTCTCTCGAAGCACTTTAAACAAATTTTCGGAAACTGAACAAGCGGCATTCAAAAGCTTTTCAATATTTTCCGGAAAATGTCAAGAAAAATATAAAATTTTCAACAATTTCTTTTTGCAAAAAAACTTTTCGAGGACTAGCTATACTACCAATTAAGACACTTGCACTTATTTTTAGAACATCTTGTATATAATAATATAATAGGTTATAATCATATCTAATGGTGAATTGTTGATAAAGCTTCATTCAGAACCTCGCAATTAGTTGAGTAAATTAGTGGTTTCAATTAGCGTATAAGTTTGTTCCTTTAATTTTAATGTAATCATTCAAAACTTCAAAATTAGTGGTAGACATTTTCAATTAGTAGAAAAAGTTACCAAACTTTTAACTTTTCCACTAATTATACTTGTTTAGTTACTACTTAAAGAGCCATGTATAACTATAAAGTATTTGTTAAATATATAAGTAAAACAAATATATGGCTATCAGATCCTTTCGAATTGTGAAAAATAACACATTTTTATGTATCGGCGTGGTCATTCTAAATCCGTGATTTACAGTATGTCCCCGCATTGTCTTTACAAGAGCAAAAAAAAACTTTTTTACTATTGGCATTTTGAGTAAAATGTACTCTCCATTAAATTTTTGCTTGTTCTAAAATGGCTAATCCCGTTTATACTTTTTCAAATTTCTATACCGTTTTAAAGAAAATTGAAAAAGGAACATAAAAATATAGTCGAATTTTTTCTAAAGCTTTATTCAGAACCTCGCAATTACTCGAATAAATTAGTGGTTTCAATTAGCGGTTGTTCCTTTAATTTTAATGTAATCATTCAAAACTTTAAAATTAGTGATAGACATTTTCAATTAGTAGAAAAAGTTATCAAACTTTTAACTTTTCCACTAATTATACTTCAAAATTTGCGAGGAATGTCATTTTGACCTTTGATTATCTTCCGTCAAGAGATATTATGGTTAGAAATCAAAAGTCGATTGTTTTATATGCTAAATATTAGGCTTTCTCTATGGATACAACCGACTTACGCAAGCTGTTGCCAGGATATACTATTAACTTTAATTATGTTTTTTAAACATTCTGAATGATCGTAAACTAAAGCTTCATTCAGAACCTCCTAACTAGTGGAATAAATTAGTGGTTTCAATTACAGTTTATACTTTTTAGTTACTCTACACAATTAAAATTAATAAAATATTCTAGCAACAGCTTGCGGTAGTCTGTTGTATCCATAGAGAAAGCATAATATTTAGCTTATAAAACAATAAACTTTTGATTTATAACCAAAATTTTTCTTGACGGGTGAAAATCAAAGGCCAAAATTACATTCCTTGCAAATTTTGAAGTATAATTAGTGGAAAAGTCAAAAGTTTGTTAACTTTTCCACTAATTGAAAATTACTACCACTAATTATGACGTTCTGAATGCTTACATTAAAATTAGGTGAACAAACTTCTACGACTAATTGAAACTAAAAATTTATTCCACTGATTTCGAGGTTCTGAATGAAGCTTAAATAATTATTTTTGAAAGATTTTGTTAACATGTCGATTTGTTAGAATATTTATCGAAATATAAAATCAAAAGTCATAGAAGTGGATTCAAAACAAACCCCACCTACCCCTTTCCCCAAAAAACACGCTTGTAACTGTGCATGTGCTCGTATAACCGTTAAAGAGCTTGTTGACGTTCCCCCACTCCCCACCTGTATATACTGTAGATAGGTGTATTCGTTTCAGTTTCATTTCTTTCTTTCTCTCTTTTTATTTCGTTATCGTCCTCCTTTTTTCGTTCGCTCTCTATCTGTTTCTATCTTTCTCTGATCTATTGCGCGCCACCGCTTTCTCTCTACTACTTTGTGTTCTTCGCTTTTTTTCTAGATCTTGCAGAATCTTCAAAAAAAGAGAACGGAACGGAGGGGGCGCCTCAGTTCGGACCTCAGCAAGTTTAAAACAACCAAAAGCAATCTCATCTTTAAGGTAACCAGCTTGGGACTCGCTTGGCCTTCTATATATATATATATATATATACGTATATACATTGTATTTTGCGCGCATGCCCGATCCGCGGCGCCTCTGCTTCCGCTTCAGATAACACCCAGTATTTATTTCTGTCTGTCTCTGTCTGTCTGTGCGTTGATTGCGTTTGTGTTTGCTCTGTGGTCAAATAAAAAAGAAAATCGAAAACAGTTCAAAAATTTATAATTTATTTGCTTATTGATTTTTACAAATGTTTGTTTTTATAAACTGTAAGTTTTGGGTTCGTTGAAGGACTATTAGAGCTACAAATAATTTTACAAGATGCAGAATGTCCCAAATAAGTAAAAAATATTATAGTTGTATTTTTTTAATAACACCCTGTATATTATTCAATTTTTAGATTTTACGATTGAAATAAAGGTAAATTTGATTAGGGTTTATCACACGTAAACCTTACGGTTTTTGAAATATTTTCAATTTTGTGAAATTGCTGTAAAAAATTTAAGGCTTCATTTCTCCAAGGGTATCATAGTTTTAAATATTAAATATTTACTCAAAATTATTTATTGATCAGATATTGTGTTGCAATAATAAAAATTATATTACCTTATACAGAGTGTTCAAAAATGTATATGAAATAATTACTAGCTTTAAACGGCAATAACTTGTTTAATTTAAGTAGAACACCCTGTATAACGTGAATCAAATGCACAATTTAATTGTCTATCAAATTGTATTATACTATTTTTTACCTATATCTTCAAGTTTTCGTAGAAATTGCATTTTCTTATAATTGAGACCTCGTTTATCACTGTACCCATACCCATGGATTATTGACATTTTGGATTTTTTTAAAGAAACGTATGTACAAAATGTACAGGTGGTGAAAATAATAATATTGCAAGCCCATTTGTTTACAAAAAGAAAACAATTTTATTTAAATATTTGTAAGAGGGTATATCAATATACAGAGAAGACCAGGCTACTAGTAACATAGCAAGTTGGCGGACGAATTTACGTTTACCCGTTTTGCGTTCGTACTCGAGATTGCCGGCTAGTCAGGCAGTACGCAGTTGCAGTTGTTCTTGGACGGGTCGGTCGTGAAAAACTAGGAATACGACGCGAGGAGTGCCGAGTATTTATTATTTTCATTTTTAAGTGTTTACCTTCACTTAAAGTAGCATTTAAAATGAAAATACTTTAATATTTTTTATTTGAGTATGTTTACAAGCCAAAACTAAAAATAAATAAATTCTCTAAACCCAAAAAAATAAAATATTACTCTAAATAAGAAAAAGTTATAACAAGTGTTCAAAAAGACCGTCTTCTTGTGCTAGACAGAAGCCTAGGCGGTCGTAAAATCCCTGTCTGACATTGGCTAACATATTAGGGCTAATAGTTTGGAAAGCCTCTCGTATTTTTACTTGAAGCTCATCCAGGTTATTAGCCCTATTATGACCATACACTTTGGATTTTACATAACCCCACAAAAATAAGTCATTGAGAGAAAGATCTGGTGATCTAGCGGGTCACAAAATAGTTCCATATCCACTAATTAAACGGTTGGGAAAAGTATTGTTCAAACATTCTTGAACAATACGGGCATTGTGGGCGGAACCACCTCAGCAATTTGGTTACTTGAAAACGTGGGATTTTGATCCGCGGTAGCACAAATGAACACTTGCTTTAACTCCTGTTCTTCATTAATCAACATATCAGGCTTTTTGTGTTTTTGTGGGAACACGCACTCATGTGTTTTAAAATTATTAATAACCCTTGATACAGTAGGTAAAGATGGAATTGGCCTGTTTACAAAAGTTTGTGGAAAAATTGTTTGTATATTCCGATAAGACCTATTTTGGAAATACCATTTTACAATTTGAATTTTCTCACGAACTTCGTAAACATCCATTATTTTACTTAAAAAATGAATTTTATACGAGAACTGTCGCGAGAATCTATGTATTCGTTTAGGCTATAAACACGAATAAATACAAATTCTGAAACATTCTTATCACATATCTACCTATTTTTATTTTATCGCATTTTTTCGCCTGCTTTTTATCCGGCGGACGGGTATACGCTAATTCGTCCGGTTCTGCCTATGTTACTACTAAGGTGGTCCGGTCTATATAATTAAATAATATAATAAATAAATATAAGGACAAAAAGAAACAATAATCCGTTCCGGTAAAAGCGGGTAAACGCCGTTTAAGCCGTTTGAAGCTGCCTGGCGAATAATACAATTGCTCCTATATTTTTCATGTTTTTGTATGTGTGTCAGATTTTTCATATAATTTAGGAAAAGCAAAGATTATTCACATTCAAAAATGAACAAAGATTTATCGATGTTTTAAAATAGCAGTGAAAAATAATTTAAACAGTTATTTAAAACTATTATTTCTAAGTATAAGCAAAAATATTAGAATTTTTCAGTTTTTTAATTAGTACATAATTTTAGTTTGATTACTTTTATTTCGATAGTTTTTACTATTTTGTATGGGACTAAATTAAAATCTAAATATGCGTTACTAAAAGTGTTATGTCACAAAATTATTGTAACAGACTGCTTTCGATTTTCTCTATTTGACCATATGGTATTATTAATATCTTACAGTCAAGGGGCTTTAGGAAAAGATTCCGAGATTGCTTTTAGTTAACCTTTGATGTCTAATAAGATTTACAATTATTATTCAAATCCTAGAACAACCAAGAGTGTGATCTTCGAATGGTACCATTGGACAAAGAGCACACCTTTTTTGTGTTAACATTTATCTAATGTGACCTCTAGTATATAACTATATAACTGTTTATATAATGAAAAATAAATTTCTTGCAGTTTTTAGGTATATAATAAAATTATATAAGAGTTCTTACTTTGAACTGCTGATATAGAAATTAATTCCACGCTGTGTTCGACAAAATGTGGATCAACCTGCTCTCACTACCGGTTTCGGGGCCCTACCCCATAATCAGGTGAGCTTGGGTCGTTTCCACAAAACGTCGAGCACAGTGCAGAGTATATAAATACGACTTGTAAAGTAGCGGTAAGATACCGCAATCTCTAATGCGCAAGCCGCTATCTCGCGATGCGGAACTTAATATCTTACCGCTACTTTACAAGTCGTATTTATATACTCTGCGCTGTGCTCGACGTTTTGTGGAAACGACCCAAGCTCACCTGATTATGGGGTAGGGCCCCGAAACCGGTAGTGAGAGCAGGTTGATCCACATTATGTCGAACACAGCGTGGAATTCATTTCTATATTAGCAGTTCAAGGCAAGAAACTCTGACATAATTTTATTATATAACTGTTTATAGATGTGCCCAAAAAATGTGCCATATTCATCATCGTCATGATTTTTATCCTCATCATCATTTACCTGCGATTCTCTGTATTACGTAGGTTATCTTTTAAGTTTTTACAAAAAGTGAAACAGAAACAAACAAGTTCGAAACAAAGTGTTTTATTGCTTTCGAAATATAAGGTCTATATACACACATGGCCAAAATTATTGCATATAACGATATTTTTATTTTATTTTGGACCTAATATGATTTTTTTATATTTTTAGACATATTGGCTTACGACTAAGGCCTGATTTTCATGGGTCCGTTGTCCGACGATACGATGATACGATATTAATTTTATTGGCTGAATTTAAAGGCTTCGATTTGTTAACCGTTTCTAACCAATCGAAGTTTTCAAATTCAACCAATAAAATTAATATCGTATCATCGTATCGTCCGATAACGGATGCATGAAAATCAAGCTTAATTAATATAAAATTAAAAATCTAAGTGCGACTAGGCTGTCATAATGAGTGAAAATCAACAAAAACAAATTTCATTTTAAACAGAAAATATTGAAAACAATTTTAATTATTTCTCACAACTAATAGTCTGTATTGCCTCCTCGAGCCTCAATGCAAGCTGTGAGACGGCGTGGCATGCTCTCAATTAAGTTGTCCGGAAGATGTTGAGGAATGGCATTTAGGGTACGGGGGGGATCATTCCTTTTTTGGCAATATGGCGTTTTAGTATGTCCCAAGTATTCTCGATCACATTCATATCTGGAGACATCGGTGGCCACCACAGTTTTCTTATACTTCCTCACAAAATTCGCGAACCGCTAAAGTGCGATGGGGAGGAGCATTATCGTCCATGTAAACAAATTCATCCTCCACTGCCGCTGCCCCTCGAAATGGACGCACAATAGGCTCTAAAACGTCTCTAAGATATGAGGCGCCTGTCATTGTGCCATCAATAAAAACAAGAGGAGTTCGAGTTCAGTGCATTATACCTGCCCATACCATAATGCTTCCCCCTTGAAAGGGGACACGGGGTTGAGCTGCATTCAAGCGTGCTCGTCTTCCAGGTGCTCTCACTAGGCCTATTCTTGTTTCATCACTAAACATATCGAAATTCCAATTAGGTCCATATGCTCTCATCACCTCAGCCCATTGTAGTCGCGTAATTTTGTGCTGTAAATTAAGCTTCAGAACACGTAGAGGCCTCCTTAAATGTAATCCTCTGTCATGGAGTCTTCTTGCTATGGTCTTTCTTGAAACATTTACTCCTTCAAGGCGAGCTAACTCATTTTTAATAGCAGTACTAGAAAGCAGGGGATTGCGTCGTGCAATTAGGGATATTTGACGGTTTTGCACAGCAGTAGTAACTCTCTTTCTCTACCTCTTCCAGGCCGGTCTGTAACCTCGTTTGTCTACCTGATTTTTTTTAATATTTGCGAAACATCTCTTTGGTTAATTCCTACAATTTCAGCTCTTGCAACTTGCCGGTAGCCCTGTTGAGATAGTGTTACTATTCTGACTCTATCAAACTGTGTCATTAATGGAATAGTGGTGACATATGTTCAATACAACCGAAGAAACAAGCGATTGTAAAGACTTTAAAGGCAACCTACCTATATTGGGTATTAAGTCATTGTTACATCATTGTTCTTCATTATGTTGTTCCATATACCCGATATTTTTGCTGT